TATCACTATACCTGACCACAGTCACCGTCTCTGCTCTTGAGTAAATGGTGGAAATCTTCGCTTGCGATGGTCGAACTTACACAACACCTGATACCATATCTTCGTACTGCTCTCCTTTAAGGTAGTAATTGTAGTGTGCTCTCACCTTACAGTACACACCATTCCTAATGTCAGTCAAATAGAAATTACATTGCTGCTACCAGTACCTAGCAGTATAAAAACTAGCAGAAAAAAAGCAGGAGTCGTAGCAGAAACACTGTGAAGCTAGTTCAAAAAACATCACCTCAGCTGATATTCTCATATTCCCCACCTATTATACTAAATTTATAAAAGCAATAGGATGCATGTCATACTTCTGAACCATCAATACTGTAATAGGAATTGACTAAGCTTCCATGACTAGCTAACTGCTAGAGAAGTTTGCTTCCTACTAGACAGATAATGCTCTGTAAATTCTGATCTAATACTATAACTAGATATTGTATATGTTGCAGAAGTCTGAAATTACTGAGCGCCAAGCATTGAGACTGAGTTAAAAAATCTATGTGGCCTATTTAACTACTATGGTAAGCCCACTGTGTACTTTATTGACACAGACGCACGAAAACCAAGCTAAAGGCTAATTGAGCAAAAATAGGGCTCCAATTTAGTGGACTTCTTCAAATGATCTTGCATGAAAATTTACTTTATTGTCATATGTAGGTACGGAAACTAGTATAATCCGCCTCAGCATGCACATATTACATCTAACAGCAGTTCCTAGTTCTCGTAGTCAAAAATCCAGTTGACATGAATCTCAGCGCAGACTCAAATCAGCATTTACTCTGACTTATGCATTCGAAAGGTATAGTTCAGTACTACTAGCACTCCGATAAATTGCCAGTTAATACCAGCATAGGAAGACGATACCCTGCTTTTGTACCGTCTATTTCATGCAGTAAATTTCTATCTACGAAAAATTTCTTCTCTGACTCCTGATTTAGGGGAACCATCTTCTTGTCGACCTGTATACCTGCGATAGGGCGACCATGTGGACGAGCTTGCTTTTGGCGCACCCATTTGCCTTCCCGGTGGATTAATGTAGTTTTCCTCTGCCAACACCGATACATATTTAAACCAGACTCTATACACTGTGTTTAAGGCCCAATGTGTAATATCCTCTCGTACCATTTATATTCATATACGCTAGTTAATGGAAGAAAGCTTAATCAGCAGAGTATTCTTAAACTGAATATGTTTACTCTTCAGATTGTTGCTAGACAGTCTAACCTTGAAACACTTTGCTACAATTAAGCAGCCTGATCACTATTAGCGTAGGCGTCAATAAAACCACTTTATGTTCCTCCTTCTAGCACACACGACCAAACTTTTGTTTCAGTAAAAGTCATTGCAGTCTGAAATAAGCTATCCAAATTTATCAAATATATCCTTCATTTAATAAAACCATTAGTAGTCATCTACATTCAGTGTATCTTCCGCGAATTTTGAGTTCTGACGCGGCAGAAACTGCCTTTCGCTTCGGCGGTGCTCGCGAAATCTGAGCTCCACGCCAGGCTTCATCCTGAGTGCAATGATTCTGAATCAACAGCCTTCAACTAGCTTTAGCCAACACCCGATGACTGTTCAACTATACCTATTTCTACAGCAAATAATACCGGATCCATAACATGGAAAGGAAACTACCAGCACTGTGCATTTGCGCCAACCATTTTCCGTACCGAACTACAAACACTTAACGAGCTGCAATTTCTTCGGCTGAGGAGTACTTTATTGGCAGCCAGCTGGACCCCTTAGGTTAAATTTATTTGGACCTTGCGTGAAACCACTTAAAAGTGTATTCCTTATGCAAGGCCAATCTTTAGGGACTGCGAGGCTTGCACGTTTTATCTGTTGGCAAGACTTTTGCGCAGTTTCCATTTCGTCACGAGCTCGCTTACTTTCTGATAACCAACTAAACAATTAGCACATTGTAATTTGCCTGCTGAGCTATTTACTTACGGAATACACTCTCGCCCTGTTGTGCGTTATTCTACACACTGACGCCTGGCCGGCATTCAAGCAACAGCTAA